TAAAAACATTCTACTGTCTTTAGAGAATTCCTTTAATGATCATTGTTTTTTCCTATGGCCGTGTAAGAAGCGGTGGGGGTGGGGGGGGGGCTATTATGCAGACAATTAGCTATAGAATACTATTGAAAACTTCACTACAATATACATGTGCTCCCTCAATAATAATATCTAACGATCTTCTAATTTCTGGTTTGTTTGCCAAGGAATTTGCGGTTGCTGATAGTGCCCAAACAGAAAATATATTGTTGTAAACCCCCCCCCCCGAAACTGCTTACTAAGGGTCTGTATTTACCAGAAGTGGTTTCTGTATGCCTTTTAATTTCCATCCTTGCATATCTGAGTTCGAACTTAAAACTGCATTTTAAAAGGGAGATGTGCCTCTGAGATTTTCAGGTCACCTGTGTCGTTCGGATGACCTATTGCTATCTCTTTTCTTTCGTCGTCGTACGTCATTCGGCGGTCGTAAACATTGGGCCAATTTCATTTGTCAGTGATCGGTTTACGCCTAACTGCACCGGTCATATTACCTGCGTAAAACGGCTAAGAGGCAAATGAAGTAAGCCTGCGAAAACATCTTTTAAAAAATTACGCTAAATGATAATCAATTATTTGAGTTTTATCACTTTTTTTACGGAAGCGTATTAGTGCCACGCAATATTTTTTTAAGTTAGAAATTCCAACTTTACTCTTGGCTTCTCCAACTTTAAAGTTGGTAATTCCAACTTTAACGTTGGTAATTCCAACTTTAAAGTTGGAAATTCCAACATTAAAGTTGGTAATTCCAACTTTAATCTTGGCTTTTCCAACTTTCAAGTTGGTAATTCAACTTTAATCTTGGCTTTTCCAAGTTAAAAGTTGGTAATTCCAACTTTAATCTTGGCTTTTCCAACTTTAAAGTTGGTAATTCCAACTTTAAAGTTGGAAATTCCAACTTTAATCTTGGCTTTTCCTACTTTAATCTTGGCTTTTCCAACTTTAAAGTTGGAAATTCCAATTTTAATCTTGGCTTTTCCAACTTTAAAGTTGGTAATTCCAGCTTTAATCTTGGCTCTTCTTACTTTAATCTTGGCTTTTCCAACTTTGACTTTTAACGTCTAAGAAAGGATTTTATTGTTTATTTACTTGGCTTAAATTCCAACTTTAATCTTGGCTTTTCCAACTTTAAAGTTGGTAATTCCAACTTTAGTCTTGGCTTTTCCAACTTTAAAGTTGGTAATTCCAACTTTAATCTTGGCTTTTCCTACTTTAATCTTGGCTTTTCCAACTTTGACTTTTAACGTCTAAGAAAGGATTTTATTGTTTATTTACTTATCAATTCTGTTTGTCAACAAAAATAAAATCCTGGATCCGCGCCAGTACAGAATTGATACATTTAGTTATGTTGTATATTTACCAGAAATGTTTCATTTGATTAAATAAAATTTGATTACATTGACTATTTAGTTGCTGTCTCATTCTTTCATACAATACATAATAAATGGCTAATATCTGTAATTTTTTAAGTTGAAATCCTGTCATGTACGGAATACTGTGTACATAATTTATATGAAGTTATTCTCAATAGAATTACACAAGAGGTCTTAAAGGAATATCAGGATTTCTACGTAAAAGTTGGAAGTTGTATGTAAGGTCATAAGCAAGGTCAAGGAAAAAAAAATAAAACAAACAGAGATAAAAAGAAGTCAACAATATATTTTAATGTGCTAGTATTTATTTTCTATTATAAAAGTACCATATTATAACTTCCCATAATCCCGTCCGCTATTCTCATCCCCTTTCTATTTCGACCCCCACCCCTAGATTGCAATGATAAATTGTTAACAAATCTATTTCAGTGTGTTATTTTTACTTTAATTAATGTTGTGATTCTTTCAACAACAAGAAAAACAACTAAGAAAAGCGGGTAGAAGAGCTCGAATAAAAGTTTGAAAAGCCAACTTTAAAGTTGGAAAAGCCACGATTAAAGTTGGAATTACCAACTTTAAAGTTGGAAAAGCCACGATTAAAGTTGGAATTACCAACTTTAAAGTTGGAAAAGCTAAGATTATAGTTGGAATTTCCAACTTTAAAGTTGAACTTTAAAGTTGGAAAAGCCAAAATTAAAGTTGGAATTAACAACTTTAAAGTTGGTGAAGCCACGATTAAAGTTGGAATTACCAATTTTAAAGTTGGAATTACCAACTTTTAAGTTGGAATTACCAACTTTAAAGTTGGAAAAGCCAGAATTAAAGTTGGAATTAACAACTTTAAAGTTGGAAAAGCCAAGATTAAAGTTGGAATTACCAACTTTAAAGTTGGAATTACTAACTTTAAAGTTGGAAAAGCCAAGATTAAAGTTGGAATTTCCAACTTTAAAAAAAATTTTGCGTGGCACTTATACGCTTCCGTACTTTTTACATTATGTCTTGGTAGAATAATTCGAAATTCAATTTAAAAAAAAACATGGACCTCATGAAAATTGTGAAATGTGTGGATCAGAGGTTCGGGGGTTCTTGTGGGGTGGGGGCACTACTGAGTAATGCTGAATATTACTTAGAGTGGTTGAAATATTTTTTTTTATTCCGCTACTCTGTCTATGGTTATAAAGTTACCAAACTACATAGGCGTCGGAACCGGGGGGCTAGGGGCTTAGCCTTTTCCTAGTATAGACATTGAACATTGCTGCATAGGTTTAGCCCCCCTCCCCTTCACTTTCCACAGACACGTTGCAGTATAGGTTTAAAATTAGGAATTCAATGTGGTGCTGTTTGGAAAAAAATGGTATTGAATATCGAACTTAAACACCCACCCACCCACCCCCCACTCTCCCCCAAATAGGATTCGTGTTTGGGCAACGGACATTGCCCTTTTTTTACATGTCAGGTTTTTTTTGAGGTCTAAAAAAATTTTTCTTACACTTAGCCCCCCTTTTTTAATTTGCTTCCGACGCCGGTGAACTAAACATGCTAAGAGTACAGTTATGATGAGCAATGGTGCATCTTTAAAAATTGTGAAGGTCATGGCCTTTGGTTTAAAACATAACCCAAAGTCAATTGCAAAACTCATTATTTTGGATTTCAATGATTTATTAATGCGTTAATTATTTATTCTGTAATATTTTTCATAAGTTAACTTTTAAATCCTAGGTACTTTCATTGCAGAAAAGTAGTGCTTGAAAATTGTCAGAGATGAAAACTTTGAAATATCGGAAATGAAAACAATGCCGGAAATAAAATGCAACCATTGAAACTACATGTATGCACCGTGAGTGTCTTGAATCTAATCCACAATACACACTTATGTGTTTGTACAAGTTGCAATAAAACATTATTTATGGAAAACATCCTTAATTTGGTATCATATGATTTTTGCCCGTTCACACATACAAGAAATTTTGCCCCGTTTTAAATTCGCCCAGTATCAGTTCTGTTTAAGAATTAATACTGTGTTTTTTGAATACGCCCCATTTTGAATTCGCTCACCAGTATAGTTGTTGCCATGACAACAATTAATGGAACATTTAATATATTTTTTCAGCACTCTCCTCATAAACAATCATCAACACATTTATTTAATTTGATATTCATTTCCATGACGAACACTGATCCAAAAGTCAAATCTGTTTACAGGAGGCATAGGGTATGAATTTAATTATACTATTTTAAAATTTGTATCTCGTTTATCATAAATAACCGTTCATTTGATTTTTCCGTAAACTTTTTACATTGTTTCTCATTTTATACATCAAAAAGCCCATTTTTGTTGCTAGGCAACATATTTGATTTTCAAAAGAGCCCATGGATTTGACTTCAATTTCTAAAAGAAGAATTCCTCTACTTTTATGTGAGATACATGCAACAACTGTATTAATCTGGCCATTTTTAAAATTTGGCCTTGAATATTGCCAAAATCACGAAAAATGCTGAATCAGCAAAACCTGTAAAACATGTGCACCTTCCAATGTCTAGCACAGAACTGACTTAAGACCTAAATATTTTTTATTACATTATTAGAACACTATAAATGTGTATCTTTATTACACCCACAAGTAAGAATAATTCTCAGGGTATTTACGTGTTATTTTAAGCCTCAAAGATAGGTGATTTTTTGTTTTTTCAACACTGAAAAATCCGCCGGTTGCTAAGGAAATTTCTTTGGCCAGGTTACCATGGTTACCATGACTCAAAACATCTTTCATTTTACATGCATTGTTCATGCTTCAAAATAAATCTATGAGTGGAAAATCATCAAATTCTGAGAACCCTTATATATCACCCTTTGTCTGATTTTTATGTAGAATGGTACTTATATTATAAGATTATATATAAATTACACGTATTTTATATACATGTATTGAATAATTTAATTTTATGTTTAATCTTTAGAAGGCAGTATTTATTTTTTTATGATTTAAAGTTATATATCGATTTCCTTTCTTAGAATATTAACTGAAATCAGGATAAAACATCAGACCATTCATTACAAATTGTCATCTGATTCTTGCAAAAAATTGTACCGACTTATAAGCGGGTCAATGGCAAATCTCAGCCAAGTAACCTCGAAAAATACAACCGACTTATAGGCGGACCGACTTATAGGGAGTATATTCGGTAATCCCCTTCCCCGCTTTTTAACGCATATACCTTTTCCTACTTCTAACGCAAAATCACGCATATAACGTATAACCGCAATCACGCATTTTCATGCACTTTAATAAAAGTTAATTTTATCTTAAATTCAATGCCAATTTCCTGTAATTTTATTCGTGCTTAAATCTCATAAAATCAGGTAGGAAAAGTTATTTTCTCATTAAAATATGATTACATAAAATTATTTTTAAGCTAAACATTCGTGAAACTTGTACCACGCTATAAAGTGCTTGCAAGGAAATGGCAATGTCACATTTCATGACGAAAACATTAAGTGTATGTTGCATAACAGCTCTGTTAGTTGTAAGGAGTTAATGGTTTTCAATTTCATTTTATTAAAAACAAAGTTGTATATATTTTTAAAATCTTTAGATTGGTTCTCCACATTGACTGATGAGGAGCTGTGCGTGTTATTCTGCTTTATGTGCTCTGACTCAGGCCATCCTGATTTTATGGACTCAGAGTGTCTGCACATGCTTAACACGATACGAAAGATGGTATTTCGTAAAAAGGAACCTGTGAATAACAACAAAGCACAGACGACAATGCAAAGCCTATATTTGACGAACTCCCTGTGGGCTGATCAAACCGAGAAACACTTAACCAAGGAAATACAAGATGAAATCATATACCGTGTATCGCGTTCTGGTGACATTTCCGCGTGTATGTTCACGTTGTATTCTTTATCCAGCTTTAACACAGCACACACATACCTAAGATCAAGGCAATATAAACGTAAAGATCGAGAGCAGTGTATCCTTGGTTATAGCTCTTTGTGTGATTCCTTACTTATACGCCGTTTACAGATGGATATACTGACGCATGTCACCATGGAGGACACAGAGATCTTTGATGAAGTGGCGAGGATAGGTATTATGAATGAAAGTCATTTATAAGCATATCAGATTTATTTCCATACAAGGTATGTGAAGGCAGCAGTCAGATCATTATTCAAATGCAAGATTTTCGGTATAATTAATGTCCACAAATCAGAAAAGCCACTGATGAAATATTTAGTATAATAATTATCCCTTGTGTAAACGTTAATGAGGCGTAGGCTAATATAAAAGACCTCTTTCATATGAAGTTATGAAAAAAACGTCTATATTAATAGGGAAAAAAATCCTCAATGAGTAGTGAAAATTTGAATACTACCCTTGGGATTAAAAAAAATATCCTAATCTCCAGTCTGAGAAATTATTAAACTATTCTTTCGCTCTAAACCTTACCAAATAAATGTAATATAGGTACATGGAACTGAAGGTTTTTAATCAATCGATCTTAGCTAAAAGATTCTAGCAGCACTTTCCACTTACTATGGATCACAATCATTCAATATAAAAAAAAGTTAAAAAGAAATTGGGGTAGTATTTAAAATATTTTATCTTTTTTTGAGAACAACAGAGAAAAGGTTGATCAGGATGACAGTACAATGTTTATCTTTAATATCAGAAAATGTAAATGAATATAAATCAAAATACCTGATTTTCAAAAAGAAGAAAAAAGAGAAAAAAAACAACGTAATTCCATATGATTCACAAGTTATATTTATTGAAAAGTCTGTAAACCTACCATTTCATATATTTCGCGTAATACTTTTTCATGATTGCTCTTCTTTCACTCTACCATACATCAGGTATGTTAACCTGTGACGAATAGTTGTTTATTTAAAAAAAATGTCACAATGTAGTGTGAATATTATGTTGTGTATGTTTTAATTCGATTACAGTATTTAAAGTTAATTTAAGAATAAAAAAAAAATAAAAACCGTTACCTACAAAACTTACCTCAAAAAGCTATCTATATGTTTATTTGACGTTGTCTTTACGACTTATCTTTAGTTTGATGTTGTATAGATACTATTGAATCATTGTGTTTTCGTTTAGATCGATGTTTATGAATTTACACTGACTTACACGTACATGTACCCATCAATTTACAACTCAACATCTCAACTACATTACAACAAACACTGATACACGCATACATCTGACACAAAATGGCCTACAAAATACGCCCAATAGATTTTTTTTTAAAATTGGTGGTTAGCAATATATATGATATAATTATTTGATTATTTATACTAGTTAATATTCCCATGAGAGTTTTGCGTGGAAATGAAACAGAACGTCAAGAATTTCTAGAGAAATTGAAAGAGCTGGAGGAGGATATCCAATTCAGAGGATCACAAGAGAGTGGGCAGAACGTAAAATGGATATGGAAATATGGGGTTGTACACGGGAGACCAGACATTGTCAGATCTTGTATAGGTCTTCATGAACATTGGGATATATACGTAATTGGCAATAAAGCTCACAGAAAATCAAGTGAGTATAACGTGTTTAAAACTTGAAATGAATATTAAATTATATACATTATGAACAGTTTAGAATCTAAGTATTAAGAATATTTTATATAAATGACATTTAATATAGGTTGAGGATTTAGGAGTTAGGGTACGTCGGGTAAAATCAATGCATAAATGTGAAGGCTCTCATGTTTCTTGTCTCTAAAAATATTGAAATTTTCACAGGATCAAGAAGAGAATATCACTACAGTCCCTGAAACGTTCTACTTTCCCATTTTTCCATTCGCTTACCGTTTGTTCAGCATTTGTTCATCGTTCGTTCAGCGTGTGTTCACCGTTCGCTCTCCGTTTACGTACAGTTTTGCGTTAACCGTTCACCATACGCACACGGAAACCGTTCACAAAACGTTCACCGTTCGCTCTTCGTTCCCTTTACTTTGCGTTCACCTTCCGTTCACCGTTCACTTATCGCTCAGTCTCCATTGTCATTCGGAACTCTGAAGTGAATGGACTTATCTTTTTGAGGGTAAGGATTTACTTTTTTTAATTAAATAACTAAGATATCGTGTTTGAAGAATAATTATTTCATTGCAGAAAGTATCTACTATATTTATATTTCTATTGTTATAACTAAGCTTTTACTTTATCTATGAAATGTCCCTGGAAAATAAAACAATAAGGACCTACCTACATGTATCTAGAACAATGCTAAAATATTAAATTTAGATAAGGGCAATGTAAAAATAATTCAAGATCGGCAACATTTATTTTTGCAATGTTAAAGACGACAATACGTTAATGGATGGATAGTAATCAAATTATTTTACAAGAAAATAATACACACATAATAAATTATTTCTTACGCGTATTTTAAAAAAATGCACGAAAACATATTATTGATTGCCTCTTTTCATCATCTAGTCCGAGTGTAATCAAGGCCGGGAAATATTTACAGACACATGTAGAAGGAAGGTAAAATATTCATCATATAAGAATAAAAATTACACATAAAAATATAATATTTTGCATTAGAATTTTTAACTATGAGTGTATTTATGCAATATGTCAACATGCATTTGTAAATTAAAAAAAAATCCGTAACGTTATTTTTCTCAGAATCGCCTTGGTATGGAAATACATATATGGTTGTTTCAACAGGGGACAATTTAATTAAGTCATTCTATAAGTAGTAGTTTTATCTCCTAAAGTCCACACTATTTTTTTTTAGTTAAGAGAATAAGCATTTTTACTGTATCAGTAAGTTAATTTTATATTCATACTATACGCGTTTAGTAATAAATACACACGTTTTATGGCGATTAAAACCGTGCTATTATAATGTCGAAGTAAAACATACGTATGTGCAGAAAAAAAGTTTTATAATCTACTGTTTATTTATATTTAAGCACCTAAAATTAGAATTATAGAATAATAGAATAATTTCAATGCAAGGAAAAGATTGGAGGCATTCCGAATAAGTCGTTCATCTTGCGTTCACCCTTTGTTCACTCTGAGCTCGCGTTCGCGCTCCGTTCACGTTCTACGTTCACTCACCGTTCACCGTTCACACATCGTTCACCAAGTTGCGTTCACCGTTCGCACATCGTTCACTCACTGTTCGCATTGCGTTCGTTCAGCGTTCTTTCACCGTTCGTTCAGCGTTCGTTCACCATTCAGGTGGGAAAGTAGAACTTTTCAGAGACTGTAAGTGATGGTATCAGTGAAATTAAATTTGACGGTTTTATATTATTGACAAGGTCTGGTCAATGTCATTACCTTTTTCCTGGACGATTAGAATAAAAAAAAACACTATTGCCAATCATGTATTTTCTTACTTGTATTTCAAAATCTTATTATTTTTTTGCATAAAAAATTCTATTATAAAGTTGCAATAAGATGATATTAGCAAATTGACATAATTAATTTTAATAAAATGGATATTGGCTAATCCGAATTTTTTTATCCTTTTCTTAAATTTTTAGGATATATAACCTTATTTCTTAATGTTTAATACATTTAATTTCTATTTCATTTTCACATATATTAACGCTGTTGCGTAAGAATACCGAAAAAGGGTTTTAATTTGATCGTTAACTAACAGAGAAGAATTACTTTTTACGTATTTTTGATTCAAATCTGTACTCAGTACTATGTAAGCTTATAAAAGCTAACATAGATTTTGTTTGTTTGAAAAAAATCAGATTTATTTGATATATTTAGGACCATTAGTACCTTTAAAGTTATCATTAATTAAACATACATTTGAAAGTGCGTGATTGTGTCAAAAATATAACTAAATAAATGGTATAATAATACTTTTGAAATACAAAAAAGAAGATATTTTCATACGCCAGTATTCCGCACAAACTTTAGGCCATGCTAGATTTCAAAGGCAGTTTACTATTTCTAAAATAATATGGCAACCTATATATTTTTTGGTAATAATTGGTCTATTTAAACTCTACTGAATGGAAATAAATTTAATTTTCATACTTTAAACAATTCAAATTCTGAGGTTGGAGAGACCGTAAGAAAATGTACAGTGAAAATTTCATCTAGTGAGAAACCAGAATGGAATCCTTCCTTTATTAATTGTCTTGAACATCGATACATGTAGTTTGCCTCTCGTTGAATCATCATTTGACCAAAATAGACGTTTCTAAACGTAAGCACCCATTAGTATAATTAAAACGAATTTGTTTACGATTTGTATTTCACAGACCTACCTGGCTAAATCACATTTTACAAGCCGTGTACGTCAGACATGTATCCTCAAAAATTCCAAAGAACTTGAAGAAATTCAAAATCACCATTCTTTCAATCGTACATCAAAACGTTTTGTCCTAATATTGGTAACAATGGATGTTTTTATATTCTTGAAAATAATAAGATACATACATTTTTCAAAAAAAAAGGTGTTGATTTTGTTATGTGGCATCTGCCACTTTGATGAAAAAATCCTATCGATGACATCATAAATAATATTAGTACAGATCGAAAACATGGGGATCTATGTACTTGAAAAGTGCTGATGGAGTCGAGGAACAAAATATGTTTTGAAGTTTTTCTCATGTTATCTGTATAATATGGAAACCACCGAGTAAGAGTTCGTGCAAATGTTTGGAAAAAGAATATTTTCACCATTAGACAGTAGGATTCAAGCAACACAAGCATTTGAGATGTATTCAGCTGTCTTATTTCCTCAGAGAATATATGAAACACTATGTTGTTTTTGTTTTTTTTTTTTTGATTTTTTAATCTAGGAATGTGTTTTTATTATAATAAATAACAGTCATAAACTTGCATGCACTTCGGGTCCTCAGATACTTTTTTTTCTTTATATATGCAATGGTTAACGAAGCCTGGACAAAGCTGCAATGTTCACATTTTAAATTTCTCTGCAACTAATTAAATGAATCGATTTTACATGAATATTTTTGGAATTCAATGACAACGACTGTCTTCTTCACATTACATCAAACATCTCTTTATGAAAACATGTCGATTTTTTTATTTTAAATATTTACGTTTCACCGGATGGGTTCAATTACTACAAATCTGCACATATCACTGAGGACCCACTGACAATACTTGAGAGTGGGTTTCTTTCCTCACTTTTTTCTCCGAATTTTCAGAATTATGGTTTTAATCTTTGTCATTAATACACAACTCATTTCTATTTTCTTCAGTACATGTATTAAGTATAAGGTTTACATTGACAAAGTGCTAGGAAACGTCAATATATCGGGTCTTGAAATTCGTAGTCTCAATAATTTCCAGAAAAAACTTTCTTATGACATATTTGTTATATTTCTTTGAGAAATGTTATAGCAACATATACATATGAGTCCTGGCCCCATGACCATAAACTGAGAATAGACTTAAGTCAACATTTTGATTCTGAATAACTTAAGTTTTATTTAACACATGTTCTTAAGATTTTGCAGTTATGCATATTACAAGAATTGATGCATATCTAGTTTCATTCTATTTTTTTTTTCTCAGAAGTTTTATTCATTTCAAATTTTGACTTAAGTTTATTCTCAGTGTATGGTCATGGGACATGATATTAATTACTCAAACAATTTGAGAAAAGATCAACTTAAAATCTTTGTTCGTATTCCCTTTATACATGCATTCTTTGTTAGTTAAAGTATAAACACACATGGTAAAGAATCGTTTGAAACAAGTAAGCCAAAGTACGACCCACTGATAGGTTATATTTCCTAACAAGACCATTATAAAGACTATAGAATTAACGAAATGCTTTTTTAGCAAGGCTGTTCAAATCTCTGGAACATTAACCTATGCGGAGACTTCCTTTTTAAAAATTGATCGTTCTCAAAGCATGTTCTTTAGTAGGAAGTAAATTTAGGAGATGAAAACACTATTGCAGCTGATAGCTGTATATTTACATATATTAGAAAAGTTGATGAAAACCTGAAGTCATTTTGTTTGTCATACAAATAAGTTGTTAATCTCCTTCTGTCGTTTTAATCAGTTAACACTGATCGGAACATTCTTTGGGAATTGTCAAACACTTGAGAAGTATTAAAAGTAAGATTCACTTCCAGATATTTTGCCTGTCTACTCACGAACAAAAAGAATTCCAATAAGTCAGAACTGATTTGGAGTTATTGTTCTTCGCCCCCCCCCCACCTAATATTCAAAAGAAATGCTATAACAAGGGTATGTTCCCTTTATAATTGTAACAATTGCTATTTGATAACTTTGATAATACTCTTACACAGACGTTCCAAATAATTATAAGTTCTACCTAAATTCTAGGCACATTTGTTGTTAAATTAAGGTGGCGGGTTACAGAATGCGAAAACGGACGTTATAAGGGAATTTTAAAGAGTAGAGTAAAACAATGTCGTAAAAACCAATGTATTATGACGATAATGGCGATGAATCTAATGGCGATTACTCAAGAATTAACTGTACTTATCTTTTTCTATGCTATAAATCTTTTAGAAAAAAAAATCAAAACACAAAACGAAAAAGGTTGAAGATAAAACAGGGTGACTCATCTTAAAAATACACACTGTACAGAAGGTATGAAAATAGTCTTCTGTAAATTCCAGAGGTGCATATAGGTGCCATATGAAGTAAACTGTTGACCAGTCACACCGACAATCTCGCTATGAACCACATACGTTAATTAGATTATCAATAGACTGAAGAGTCCGCATTCTAATCATATCTGCTGACAAAATCATCATAACGACCACTAAATTTAGGAGATGTCAAATATACATGTAGGAGAGATCATGATTTATTGAAATCCTTGTAGCATCAACCTTGCTATGAGTATCACGCCTCGGTTTTATTATTGATACCACTTCAAGTTCATTTGGATATATCAAATCGAAGTGGCTATCAATGATATCAAAAAGTATAGTTTTCAATTTGACGTGAGGAATGGTTATCCTTTAAATGGCGATTTAAAATTTTTTAAGGTTCTTTGGAGTTCTTGAAAATCATTATCTGATTTAAATCGATTCTAGGATGTACTATAGCACATTACGTCTAAAGATTCTACTTAACAACAGTTAATATTTTTTTGTTAGAAAACGAATAGGGCTTTGTAAAGGATACGTTTGATCCTACGAATCACAGTATCTTGGTTTGTAAGGATTTTTTATGACTTTTAGAAATACAGTATAAGCAAAGTAGCTCAAATAAAAGGTCATGCAAATTTTATGATAGAATAATATTCATATTTAATACCGGTAATCAAAAATATGGGATTTTATAAAATTTACTTAAGTTATCGAATTTGCGTTTGCTTTTTGGGTTTTGCTTTGGAGCAGCTTCGGATGATATTTGTATGTACTTTTGGTAGCTCGGTTTCGTCCTCAGCAGACCCCCCAAAAACCTGGTAAGCTAACCTTGGTATCGGTTTGTATTCGCTTTCTGATGCATTGTGTGTGGACGGTAGTTTAGATGCCTTATATTCTATGCCATTAAAAAGTTTTGAAAAGGATTCAAATTAAGCGTAGAGATTTGGTATCTGATAGAAATGTATACATTTCGTTATATTATAGGTAATTTGCTACACATGTTCTATTCAGTGGTATTTTGTTAGATATCGGAATGACTCCGAATGAGTGCAATTTTTGTTTCAATTTCAGGTAAATTTCATACTTATCCATCTAATACCAGATGTCTCCTGTACTGCCTTCTATTAGTGGATCATTGTACTATCGATTTCAATAGACAGTCCGACAAATCAACATTTAACAAACTCAGAGAAAGATATTTCAAAGATATATCTCAATTTGAGGAACTGAGCACTACATTTGTCCCAGAAGGAATTAAGAAACAAGGGAGTACTCTAAAGTTTAATTCAGAGAAAATCAGACATGAAGTCATGTACGCATTTGTGACAGAGTTTATGGTGGAGGAGAGCGAATTGATTTTTTTCCTGAAAACTGCATCACGTGGATTAGTATCAGAGTACTGCAGATCCTGGAAGTATGAAAAGTCAAACCAAGAGAGATGTTTGTATTTACCAGATACACCAGACGAATTTTACAATCTGTTTATGGACAATTTACAAGAGGACATCTTGGTACATAGTTTTATATTTGAGTCGGAATATCATAGCCGCATCGTTGAATACCGTGAGTGATTTACTAACACAAGCGTTATCAGCAATACAAGATACTCTTGTGATAAAGTATTGAATTATTTTCTAACAGATGATAATTATAAACAAGAATAAAATTAAATGCAAGGTAGGGGGTGGTCTTCCGTCGGTACTGCTAATATTCATAACCTTGAACTTGCTCATATAACCAAGGCCATAATGCAGCCTCAAAAAACATGAAATATTTACTAGAAGTGTAAACTTCTATATATTTCTTTATTACAAGATATGGCCTGGGAGGCATTTTATTTTATTTTGAAACATAAGTGAAATCATGAAAAGGACATTACTGAAACGCAAACGGTATAACTGTATATTCAAAAAATCATGACACAGAAAGTGTCATATACAATCCCATAGGAAAAAAAAATCAAAAACTCATTCTGACATTTGAGCCAATGTCATATTTCAGGGATAAAAATTAACAAAGTTTTGTAAGTGATTTACTTCAGCATTTTTGTATTTTCAATGACAATACCCTTTATCTATCTTCAAGAGAGAAAGTTCAACGTTTATTGATAAAATTCGTTGACGGTAGAGAGAAAGATGTTTGATATATACTAATATTTTTCTCCCTAAAAATATATCAAATGATATAAGGTTTTTTTGAACTGTGAATTTATATGTGAAGTTGCGACATAGTCACTATTTCAAACACTTCACTATAGTGTTATCATGGAGAATACTCCCTATATGGGAATTAAAGTTGTGAAACCATCTTTACACATTTTTTTAACTTTCATAGTTTCTCATTCATGCATGGTCTGGAGGTCTTACAAGAACTCAGCTAGGGTGTCACAAAAAACTACATTTTGAATTTATGTTTTGGTGTAAAAAATAAAAACAAATCACACAGAAGTACATGTATCTATTCATCTGTGTAATTGATTCCATTTGCAGAAACAAAACATTGAATTATTTATATCTATTGGATGCGTTACATGATTTTTGACATTTGTTTTCAAAAGAAATATTTCTACTTATAAGTAGGCATTTGGAAGTTTTTGACTCTAGATCTACTCATGCGTATCCCTGCATTTTAATCACTCAGTATCCATGAAATTACTATAAATGCAGTAGATATATTGAAATTTCACACAAAAAAGCTAATAAAAACAGTTTTTTATATTTTTCAGTTAAGATTCCAGGGGAAATTCTTGAGTGGGACGATTATGCACGACGTAGATATGTAGAAAGTTCTAAAAAAGGAACACAGACGATTCGAAGAGCTCGCACCATGATAGTTGGATGTGCTGGTGCTGGAAAAACTACTCTGCTTCAGCGACTTCAAAACAAAAGTCTGTTAGAATTAAAGAATGTGAAGACAACGGTCGGACTAGAGGTTCACGAGAACATATTTGAAGTATTACAAAATGAAGATTCTTTAAAAGGTTTGCTTGAGTTTAAAGAATACAAAGTTATTTATAGAAAATATGAATTCGCTTAAGTTTAAAAAATGATTTTTTTAAGGACAAATCGGTACATTTGAGTCTCGCGAATGGTAATAGTGTTGTATAATGCATGTACTATGTAAATGTTGATAAACTTTTTCCGAGTTCATGAAATCGAATGACGAGTGGTAATTTTATAAACATACTCAGTATATGTTTCACACGAAAATTAACTCATTTGTGTCCACGTCTATTTAGTTACATACAGTGGTGTGTTTCTTCTCGTGTAAACTCAGGTGACCTATTGCTGTCCGTTTTCGTCTGTCGTCGTACGATGTGCGTCGTGCGTCAACATTTGAACAATTTCAGCTTTTTCTCTGTAACTACTGATCCAATTTCAACCAAATTTGGTACAACGCATCTATGGGTGAAGGGGAATACAATTCTAAATTTCATGACCCCAGTCCCCCCTGGGGCCTGAGGGGTGGGGCCAAAACAACTAAAATTAATGCAATCTTTAAAAATCTTCTTCTTTACTCCTGGACATCAAACAGTCAAACTGTTTGCATAATTGTAATCAGCACTCAGTTCTCTACCAAAATTTTGAAATTCATGGCCCCAGGGTCAGGAGCTCTAGTGCTAGGGCTGGGCTAAATCAAGTATTTATAGTGGAAATGCCTTATTTCTTTGAAATCTTCTTCTCTGCTTCTGGGTAATAAATAAACTTTTTAAATTCATAGTTATGATGAGCAAGAGTACCTCTACCCAAATTGTGAATTTTAAGGCCCCATGGTCAGGGATTATGGTGTTAGGGTGGAGCTCTTTATTGATTATACATGTATAGTGAAAATACATGAATTCTTTGAAAATCTTCTTCTCTCCTTCCTGGTATTAAATAAACTAATTAAGTACATAGTGACAATGACCAAGAGTGCCTCTTCCTAAATTTTGAATTTTATGGCACCAGGGTCAGAGGTTCTGGTGTTAGGGTGGGGCTCTATTGATTATATAGTGAAAATGCATTAATTCTTTGAAAATCTTTTTGTCTGCCTCTTGGTATTAAATAAACTAATTAAGTACATATTTATGATGAACAAGAGTGCCTCTATCAAAATTGTGAGTTTTATGGCCCCAGGGTCAGGAGTTCTGGTGTAAGGGTGAGGCTCTATTGATTATAAAGTGAAAATGCATTAATACTTGAAATTTTTCTCTTCTGGTACTTGGTATTAAATAGACTAATGATGTACATAGTTATGATGAGCAAGAGCCCTTTTTCCGGAATTATGAATTTCACGGCCCCATGGTCAGGGGTACCATAGAGGTGGCCGGAGGGGGGGGGTTCTACTCTCATATACTGAACATGTCGACAATGAATTAATTGTTTGAAATCTGTTCGTTTGTATTAATCAAATATTTTTGATAAGCAAATTAAAAAATTGTGTAATGTGTGGACCTAGGGTCAGGGCTTCATGTGAGGTAGGGGCACTACTGATAATTGCTGAATATTACTGATTAGTTGAAATGCATTTTTGTTGTTCCCCTACCTTGCCTATGGGTATTTAGTTACCAAACGAAGAAATTGGTAAGTATATAGTTATGATTAATGGCGCCTCTTTCAAAATTGTGAATACCATATAGCATCTGGCTTAAAATATGAACCAAATTCAATCACTGGAAAGTTATTGCATGATGCTCAGGTGACCTAAAAGGCTCATGGGCCTCTTGTTAAGATAGCAATAGTTTCAGCCTAACCGTTGCCATTATTTTCCTGCCCATACCTGATACATATACCCTCAAGGTAATAAACTTCCTGTCTGAAACACTTCGAATGATAATCATCAATGAGTAGTTTTCAAACACAATACAGGTTCATTGATGTAAAACATAAATCATTATATGAATTAAAATAAGAATAGTCCTGATATTTTTATTTGATGAAACATATGGAGATAACAAGCAGTATTCAAGATTTAAAGTCCATAAAGCAATGCAAAAAGGAGAAGAGCAAAGACAAACCTCCACAACATCAGAGGTTGGGTAAGTACATGTACGTGCTATGGAGGAATGAGCATTCCCTGCCGACTAGTCACACCCAGCGTGTACTCCGTGTAATGATCTGGAAGTAACGAAAAAATTCGTCGTCAATTTAGTGTAGAGATAATGCACTAACAATTAGTATGCAAAATGTCAGTTAGCATGTGACTTAATGATGAATTATATTTGTTGAAAAGGTCATTGTATCAACAATATAACTCACGAAATGAAGACTTTAAACAGTACATATGAAATTTTATCAACTAGTTTGTCAATAAATTACCTCGTTTTAGAATTTGATCATACGTAGAGCATACTCTTGCGTATCGAATCAACTGAGGTTTATAACCTCCGTATGCAGCTAATGAAGGTATATTGCTGCATAAGTAGGTAATGCATTCATATCGATGTAAAATACAACTTTTCGAACATATTATACATGACAATGTAAAAGAAAAACTTCTTGGACTTTGTGTAAATTGTGTAAATTGTTTAAAAGAACTTTTCAAATATTTCGGCAAATGTGATTAATTGTGTAGTTTACTCTGTTTTTTATTCAGTATATATAAAAACTCTTTATATTTCGGTTATTGTGATCAATTCTGTAAAATCAACACAATCTAAATCTCGCCCTAGGTACAATCAGAGATGGACACTTAATCCTTAATTGACTTCTTTTCATATAAATTTTAACTTAATCTTTCATCTATAACTCTACTTTAAACCTGCTGCATCATTCTCTCAAAAAAATTTTTTGATACATGATGTGTTTTGCATTTTTAGGTCACCTGAGTAAACACAGGTGACCTATTGCTATCTGTTTTCGTCCGTCGTCGTGCGTCGTCCGTCGTCCGTCGTGCGTTAACATTTGAACATTTTCAGCCTCTTCTCTGGAACCACTTAACCAATTTCAACAAAATTTGGCACAAAGCATCTATGGGTGAAGGGAAACAATAATTGTGAATTTCATGATCCCTGCCCCCCTGGGGCCTGAGGGGTGGGGCCAAAACAACTAAAATTAATGCAATCTTTAAAAATCTTCTTCTTTACTCCTGGACATCAAGCAGTGAAACTGTTTGCATGATTGTAATCAGCAATGAGTCTGCTACCTAAATTGTGAAATTCATGGTCCTGGGGTCACGAGTTCTAGTGCTAGGGCGGCGCTAAATAAGTAGGTAGTGAAAATGCATTATTTTTTTTGAAAATCTTCTTCTCTGCTCCTGGGTATTGAATAAACTAACTAAGTACATAGTTATGATGAGCAAGAGTGCCTCTACAAATATTGTGAAGTTTATGGCCCCAGGGTCAGGGGTTCTTGTTTTAGGGCGGGGCTCTATTGATTATATAGTGAAATGCATGAATTCTTTGAACAACTTATCCTCTGCTCCTGGTTAGTATACTAATGATCTAATTACATATTTAAGGCCAGGATTTTTTTATTTTCAGGTTTTGAATTTTCAGAAAAAATAAAACAATTTTTTTTCTTTCCGATGTTAAATTTGAGTCGGGATCGAGATTTCAAATTTACGAACTCGCACTTCCGGTCTGAAGATGAAACGGCGGGTAAATAAAGCTAGATCTGAGAAGATAGCTTAGTTTAGTGTAAAATTCATCGATACGAATGCCATTCAAAACGTTTCACCCGTTCAAAGGACAAATAAAATGCTGACGACTTTGTTGCACAATGACATGCTGGTGAGATAATTATGTATTCGTTTCAAAAGTATCTGTCTGTAAATTATTTACCTCCCCCAGGTTTTAAACTGCCCGTGGTAGCTATTGCATATTGCAAGCGACATTGTTTAGGTCTCTGTTATAGCTTACAGTCTAAGCATCATTCTTCAGAAAAGGGTTGCTTATGCATCAGATGTAATGAATAAACCTATGGGAGAAGTTAAGTCCATTTGAGGAAGAAATAAACAATAACCTGAAGAAATAAAAAAAAATTAACTATTAAAAGGCAAGAATATACAAATATATACAGGCGTGTAGTATCATTTGTATAAGCAATTAAATGTTCTAGTTTCCTATTTGTAAGCATTATGTGTCCAGTGGTAAGGAGCCTATTAGAATAGCATAAAAAAAGGATGTACACATGTTAATAATTGATTTTTTTTTCAATTTTTTTTTTATTTCCTTCTCCTTCGAGACTTTTTAATACTCATCTTCATAACTAAACCTAAGCATAAAAAAATGCTAGCCTTATAATGAAGAAAGGGGCCTCTTTCAAAATAGATAATTTCAGGGCCGCTTGGTCATGGGTACCAGGGGGTACTTTGACTAAAAATAAATGAATGCTTTGAAATCTGCCCTTTGATAAGCAATGGTGCCTCCTTCAAAATTTGTGAATTTCATGGCTTTTGGATTAAAACACAAACCAAATACAATCGCTGGAAAGTTGGTACATGATATTCAGGTGACCTATAAGGCCCGTGGGCCTCTTGTTGTTAATCCTTTTACTTTAGTCAGTCTTTTTACAGTATCAATGATTTGTTATTAAAAGTTACAATCAGTTGGAATCAGACCTTCAATGTTGTAAAAGTATTTTCCTTGATGATTCTTTATAAACTACATTTTAGCAGAAATATACATGTGTGTTCACATAAAAGCTATTGATTACAATAGCAAAAAGATCGGAGGTACTTCTTATGAAAAGTTAAGCGATATTCCAGAAAGGTGTAATAAAGGGTGTGATAAAGGGTGAAATGAAGCTTGCTGATTCAGGTTATTTGATACAGGACGCGTGCTTCTGTTTACATCAGTGTATTATAAGTCAAACAGAGAGAGAGAGAGAGAGAGAGAGAGAGAGAGAGAGAGAGAGAGTGAGAGCGATTTACCTTTAAAAAAGGTATTTTTCGATAACAATATGCTTGGTTTAGAATATATTGCATACAATGATGATTATTCAGACATGCAAGGGGTTTTATCTTCCTCCTTTTAGCTCTCACGAAAGAATCAAATAAGGAGGGAAAGGATCTTCTGAGTGTCATGGATTTTGGAGGACAGTGTGCCTACTACGCCTGTCATCAAGTCTATCTGAGCAGAAGAGCCTTCTATATTCTTGTGATAGACATGTCTAAACCTTTCAAGGAAAAAGTAGACGTTAGACTGTGTGATCAGGTTGGAACCATGTTTAGCGATTGGACATATGGAGGTATCTACATTATTTTGCTTGTCACGTTTTATATAATGATAATTCAGTAATACGTTACTTGATACAATAATTTTTAAAGAAGGAAAATAAATTGATAAATGCTGAGATTACAATATTTTGAAGTGAAGACTGCAATCAAAATATGTTGTATGTGCATATTACCAACGCTGCTGCTGATAAGCACAGAGCAATAAATGAAATTCTGATGAAAAAAGTTTACCATCCTGCATAATTCCAAAATTTCTGTCATTTTGGAGAATTTTTGCATTCAAAAAACACACGAAAACAATCAAAGTAAGATTATACAATGACAGGAAAAGTGATATTCATCAGTTTCATTTATACATCCCGAAAGATCAGAACGCTTAGCTTTTCTGATCATGGGAACAAAGACATCTGTAAATTGTTCAATAGAATGATCTGAAAAATTGAAAATGTTTAGAATATGTAGATGTATTATGTACGTTTTTTTTTACTTTTAGATGGATAGAGGAATAAATTATAGACGAACTTTGAGGTTTTTTTTCACGACAGCGACTGATCTAAGTTTATAAACAAAAATGCAGCAAATATTTTTTTTTTAAAATGCTCCCTACTTAAGAGTGAATGTTACTGGTCCTTGTGATAAAACCTTAAAAGACCGGGACGCAAAACAAAACAAAATCAATCAATCAATCAAAATGTAGTACTGCCTTCATTTTATCGCTGATTAATTCCCACAAAGGAAACAAAAGAAAAGTAACTAATTGCAAAATGTCGACATGATTGTTGACTTTGACGTAGATAATATGCAGCGAGAGGCGTATCGAGTTTTTTTTTTTTTTTTTTTTTTTTTTTTTTTCAATTGGAAAATAAATTTTGTTGATTTAAGACATATTTATCACAAACGTTAGATGGGTCATCAAAATCAATTCGAAACATTTGTTTAGTGTCATCAAAAAATAATTATTGAGAGAATGTGTTGAATTTTTTCTACTGTCTTTCCATATACATTGTACTTTTTTTTTTTGGTGTCTGGAAAGTGCTGCTGTCTTAAATAGGATAAAAATTTAAAGAAGCATTTCATACGTTCACTGTTCAGTATATTTAGTACTATTTTCTAAGTTTCAAAGGGTTCGGAGTTTAAGTCTAATATAAAAGTTGATTTACTCAGTTTAAATACATGACGGTCTCATGATATAAAATGACAGCTATTAGTGTGTTTTGTAAGTAAAAAATATATCAATGAAAGAGCACCAAAAAAGCATATTCCTTTACTTTCATTACAGCAAGGTAGATGCATGCTGTTTGTGACATATTTCCGCTAGATATAAACGAACTTTTCAAAGCCGTATGCAGAAGACTCTTTCATAGCAAATTTTTGTTTATTACTTTAAAAAAAAAACCCTTAAATCATAGCCTTTGACTAGAAATGATTAAATTCATAACATTTTTGTTTTCAACGAGATCTAGTTTCTATCTGAAACGTGCTTGAATTCGGTAATAACTTGTTGGTTTACGTCTAATATGAGTTTTTTTTTCTTATCTGGAAGACGTGTAATTGTATGTTAGATTCTACTTTAAGTCATAGGAAACATTATCAGACAGTGTACCTTCTAGATTTGACTAATCGTGTCCGTTGAATTCAAGTTCATGTAGGAACAATATTAGTAATAGAAAACTAATATTTTACATAAAATATGCATAGAGGCAATCCTTTTTTAGATCATGATAAGTTAAAGAAATATGGAAGCATTCTTAATTAGTGTTGTTTAAATCATGACATTGTGGGTAGTTGTACTATTTTATGTACCTTTTGATAGAGGATAGGCTGTACCACTTCTATTTTTAAACGTTTAAAAACAACACAGGTGTGTGATATGGCCCATACACCCCTTTTTTAACGACGTTCGATCCTGATATCTAAACTCTCTTGCCAAGTATATCTTTAGTTTATACATACATAGCTTAATTAAAATTCAAATCAAAAAATGGGGGTCAATACGCTTCTTTTGGCGCTACAGTACATTTAATATGACCTTCTTGCACTGAAATTTGTGTCTTGTTAAAAACTTAAATTTTTGACGTATTCCCTCCAATATTTTTATCCAATTAAAGCATGAAACAAAATGAACTCTAAGTTTGTTTAAAAAATGACACTAAAAAATTGTGACGAATAAAAAGTTTCAAATTGCTTCGCGTAATCAATTATTTGACCTTTTTGCACTAATAAAAAGTGATTTTTCTGGCATTGAAAATTTAATAATCAAGACAATTATTTTAAAGTCTTAAATTTTTTCTGATTTTAAGCAAATAGGTAAAATTTATCTTGAGTATTTAGAAAAGATTATCAAAAGTGGGGGTATATGATGTAAATTTTCAGATATTACTAAAAAAGTGTCAATTTTACGTTACGATTGCGTCATTTTTCCCCCGGATTTTCAGAATATATTGACTATATTTGTCACACTTTGTCGATAGAATTCGTAAGAAATAATTTAATAGATATTTCAGAACCAGCATAAAACACATTTCACTGCAAAAACAGTTTTGTTTGCAACCAGGATGGAAAAATAGAAATCCAAACTTAACAGTACTATTATAGTTCAAAATGGAAAAACTGATCATTTTCGTCTAAAAAACCTTCCGCGACAAAATATATCCCTTGCTTAATTCTACTTAAATGGAATTTAATCGCGGTTTTTTTCGATAGTTTTAGTTAAATGTGCACTGTAGAATTCAGATTTAATGTTACAACTTAAAATTGATGCAGAATTTTATAAATAAAGGACCTGATCAAAATACGCTCAAAATCTCAGGATCGAAAGTCCTTTTAAGTTTTCTGTGCTTTCTGTTGTATAAATGGTTTGTTTTCTTTTGCATAGAATATCTCCTGTTCTGGATGAAATCCGTCCATATCTACTGTGATGAAGGTGCTCCAATAATACTTGTTGGGACTCATCTTGACATCACAACAGGGCTGGTATATAATCTTACATATTTTATTAAAAAGACAAAATGTTTTTATCGTTGAAGAAAATAGCACACTGGGATTTTGTACGTTTTTGTTTGAATATATTTAATTACAATTCTTGACAAAATATTTTTAAAGTACTAATATGAGTCTATGCCAAACATTTTCGAAACTTGTTAACCTGAAATGCGTTAAGTCTCTGATATATGCAACAGTTATTGACCATGCTTCCTACTAAACATGTAAATATCAACACACTTGTAAATTAGGTGAATTTGAAAAGATTGCAAATGTAACCCCTATATTTATTCCATTCTTTATACATGCATTTGGACATATGTAGGGTTGCATTTACATTAATTATTGTTGGGTAGATTTTAGAGAGCTCGGAAGACATTGATATGTTCATTTGATAACATGATCCATTTCAATAGTGAATATAATTTGACATAACATTTTAATCATCATTTGTTGTTGTAATCGACTGGGGTATGAATAATATTATAAATTGTGCAGCAAATGATTGCGGAGTGATTTAATATCAGCAAAAAGGCAGAAAGGTAGCATCACTGATGTGACAATCACGACTTAACAAAATATAAATTAATGAAGCAACGTAAGGATTGTTAAAACGAGCATTATCCTTTTAAGGATTAAAAATTACTGAAAACACATGAATTATCTTGTACGTTATACAGGTCAAGAATGCCTTGTGGAGTGGGTTTTCCATTATGATCAGACCTAGGAGACCAGGTCCCATGACCATACACTGAGAATAAACTTAAGTCAAAATTTGAAATGAATATAACTTTTGAGAAAAAAGTAGAATGAAGCTCGATATGCATCAATTGTTGTAATTTGTATATTATGCATAACTGCAAAATCTTAAAAACATATTAAATAAAACTTAATTTATTCAGAATCAAAATGCTGACTTAAGTCTATTCTCAGTTTATGGTCAATAGGCCAGGGTTCGATTCTCGTTCACCGCACTGCGTCAAACCTGCGTTGCAAACATAGGTAGTGACTATTCATTTGGCATATGCCCGGTGAAAGTAAAGTAAAAATCATATGTCTTTCGGATGAAACCTTAAAAACAGAAGTACTTTGTTACGGTATGCGTTGGCTCGATAAAAAATCCTCATTTCTCAATGGTTCCGAGTGCCAAGTATAGGTCTAAATATGAAGCCCTTCATATGTATATGAGGACGTCTCTTTATTTTTAAAGGGATGTAAAACAATAACTAATAATAAACTCTACATGATAAACATCTGTATTTAAGTTACTTTTGAAACTTTCATCCTTAGACCACCGACACATTTTTCAATACTATTTTGGAGCATCTACGATACAATAAATATCTCACGGCACATTTGAACCGAAAAAGATGCTTCCTCTTAGGATTTGAAACAAAAGATGGTCAGTTCCTTGACAATTTTTCTGATTTGAAGAATTGCATCGCATCAATTGCAAAAGAGGATCGATGGAAGGAAACTATTCCAGTTGACTGGGCTCTGTGTGAAATGACTATTAGGGATCTAAGACTTCAAAAAAGGCGTATCATTTCAAAGGAAGATTTCCAAAAGGAATGTTTCCGTAAAATCAAAGAAAAATATACTCAAGTTCCTGATATCCTGAAATTTTTCCATGAAATTGGAATAATTTTGAATTTTAGAGAAAAGAAACTTTCTGATATTGTTATCATTGATATCCAATGGTTTGTCGATGCATTCAAATATATCATCACAGATTTAAATCACGTTGAGGATAATGTAGATAACTATGAGGACTGGAGAAACTTTAGTCAAAACGGATATCTCAAAGACAAACTCTTGGAACGGATATGGTCATCTAAGGATTTCAATGTAGGCAATTCAAAACGAGATATTCTAAAATATATGCAACGTCTTGGTCTGATTGTTAAGGGCAACGACAAACACTACATACCATGCATGAACAAGTGTTCATTTGAGGCAAAACACGAGGAGGCATTTAAAAGATATCAAAGTAAAACTCCAGTTCTTGTCTTTAGATTCCCATTTTTACCGTATTTCATTTACTCTCGCCTCATAGTTGCCTGTATTACAAAGACAAATGGGGAGTGGAAAGTTCTGGACGACCAGGGATTACGTTTGTTCAAAAACGTTGCTTGTTTTTCATATAATCATCACAATATTGCGCTTGCCGTGAATCAATCTTCAATACAACTCCAGGTTTTCCAGCCGCTTAGTACTCCTATCAAAAAAGAAGTTACATTGAAGGTACGTGACACCACTGAACAATTACTAAATGTACTCACCAGAAGTTTCCACAAGAAAATAATGTACACTGTGGGATACCATTGTTCAATGAATGAAGTGTTCAGAGAATATGATGAGTGTTTTGTTGAGGAAACAGCAATCTATATGCAAGGCCAAATAACGTGTCCAAGGCATACATTGCTACATCCCCACATTCTACGTGAATCAGATTTACTAGGATACTGGAAACAGGTTAGATCCTTTTAGATAGCTTAACAGAATACTACAATGCTTTTATCTAGCATTGTTCTATAAAACCGTACTTAAGATATATTTTCTCCCAACATATTTTACGCAATATATGCGATACAAAATACGATGTTTTAAATGTTTGAAATACAATTCAAAATAGCTTTGTATATTTTAGGATTGTGAAAATGACAATTCAGGTTGGTATACATTTCTGGATAACACGGTGTTCCATTGTACTCGTATAATAGACGTTCACTTTACATATCGCTATGCCCTCTCTGTACATTGTGCATGTAGTTTACACTGTTTGTGTTGATTAGATTGTTTTGAAATGTATTTTAGAGATATGTCTGAAAAAATGTATATAAAAGATTGATAATATGTTCTTTTTTCTTCAAAAAGCCCCTTTACTACATGGAGACGACTTTATCTTTTCTTATGAGGAGGGCATACAAAAATTCAATTTTAAAGCATTTGACAAACTCACAAAAGTTGGGCGAGATGCTCTACAGATCTATTTTGATAAAGAATTTACAATGCAAGATCTTATAAACCTGTCAGCGACAAAAGAAACAGTGAAGAAAATACTCCGTCTAAACGACGATCAATATGCTCTACTGTTTCCAGGTACATTTATAATTATATAATTTTGCCTTGAAATTCTGTTGCTGACTTATAAATAATGAGTTATGTACCTCATATAATAGTATAAAAAAAACACAGATTACCATGTGAAAACTGTTTCTTAGAAATTAGCATTTTCATTATAAAGAAGCTGAGAAAAATGATTTGTAGCAGAATTAACAATATAAATACATCATGTATACAACTTGAATAGAGCTTAGACGAAATTTCCTATGATATGACTAGATATAAAAAATATCAAAGGTTGTGTTTTTTTTCACTTTCATTATATTATTAAGTAAACTACATTTCTTTTAAGCGGATAATTCAAATCCTTCCTCTGAAAATTTTGATGTGACAATGATGTACGGAATGTTACGAAACCTTAGGAAAAGTCGTCCATCTAAAGGCTGGGGAAAGTTTCCGGATGCTTGTCATACACTTTTAACTGACGACGTCGAAAGAATAAGATTTTATAGAAATAAAGTTGGACATGCAACCACAGCAACAAGTAAATTAAACAAGAAGGAACTAGAGGAAAAAGGAAGAGAGTTAACACTGGTAACGTACTTAAATTTTTTTAAATATCTTAGTTCATGATATTTCTGGTGATGAGAGTATATTACAAATTAAGCATACATTTCACTCTAACCAGCCCTCTAGATAATGCAACTGACTAAAAAAGTTAAGTAAAGTCATTCTGTGATAATTTTACTTGAATATAATGAAATGAAAGAGACAGTTGCTCAGTCGGTTGAACACGTGTTCTGTGATCAGAGGGTTTCGTATTCAAATCACGGCCACAACTGACCTAAGTCGAAAAAAAGAAAAGCAACTGTTTCTTTGCCAAGCACTTTGATGTTAAAGTTGTCAGTCTTCCGGAAGAAACCTTAAAATCGAAAGCCTATTTCACGCAGATATTTGCACAATATAAGAACATCGCTGCTTATGGCAGTGTCAAATACCCTAATTTTAATGCGAGCTGCTAAAACTAAAGGTGACTCTGCTATTTTTTCGTAATGTAAAATGAGTGTACACGATTGTACGACTGTACTTACATGTACATAGAGGATATGTAAAACAAATGTCTACTGGAAACATAGGTTTTACAGATGTTCCGAAATGAAATGTGCACAATGTACAAAATATGTTTAACATTATTCAACATATCATTCAAATTCAACAATTGCTAAAAGCTGACATGAACATGAAAAGAGCATCATTTTTCATCTTTGTACGACTCACTACATTCCTGTAAGCCTTTTTCCGCCATATTTCTTCGATTCCGCCATATTTAATTGAAAATTTATGGTCACCTGTACCTGCTATATATAGCCTTGTACAATTATTTCACTTGAGTGATTTTCTAGCTTGACTGTTGACATTCAAACATGTTCAATAGCATACTTTTGAAAAGTAAAAATGCAACAAGAACTAGAACAATACCGAGAATTAAATTATTTTGAATGCATTTGAATACACTAACACGGAGTACATTCATGCACAGCAAAAATCCATGCAGGTCGAGAAAACGCGTCAAACGCAGTGATAAAAACCATTATCTGAATACTGGAATGAGCACATGTCGAAAGAATTATCCTATTTTACTTTTATTGAAAAATGCTTCTCAGAAGTCATGTACATGTAATCCATTGCTAACTCAACAATAAAAGATGCTTGGACACACGTGGCCCATGCCAATCATTTTATTTGGTCAGGGAAAATATCAAAGGTTGAAAGCTCTGTGGAGTTGATTGAAAAAAAATGCAAATATTTTTTTTTTAATAAACTTTACTCTTGTCTGTAAACGTTGTAAATAAAATTTATGAAAGCATGGTAACTTCATCAAATTTATTATAAAGCATGGATTATAACGATTCATGCTCCTTTTGGAGATAGATATTTCCTGTGATAGTAGGGGGGGGGGGGATTAATAAAACATGCATAGCACTCTCATAAAATTAATTTAAGAAAAACGTCTGAAACAGATAGGATTTCTTTATGATCAAATATTATCAAATAAATACAGTGTATTGGCTTTATTAGACCTAATATATTTTGATTTAAAGTTAATACAATTTGATTTAAAGTTATGTATAATTTTATGCACAATGAAAGAAAAAGTGAGCAAGTTATTACACACCACGCTCCACCAAAAGTCGAAGTGCTGAAATTCCCAGAAAAAATAAAGGAATCGTACTGTCCTTGTAATATGAACATCTATAGACATTGTATCCCAAATATCTGTAAAGTTTGACGAAATTGTGTGCAGCGGTTTCTGGGGAGTTGCACTGACAAACAGATCATCTCTATATTCAAGATATGGCTAAAATCTAAATGTAAAAGTGCGGAAATTCCCGAAAAAATAAGAATTCGGAATTTCCTAGTGATATGCAAATCTATATATTGTCTCCCATAAATATCTGCAAAGTTTAACAAATTTCTGTGCATTGGTTTATAAGGAGTTGCGCTGACAAAAAAAAAACAGGACTGACTGACGGAAGGACGGACGGGTCGAAAACATTATACCTCACGCACTTTGTTAACGTGAAATTTAATTTCTTGACATAAATACCGTATAACGGGTATTTTCTGCGGTTTTCCAACTTTTGCGGAATTTTGCGGATAGGAGAAATCCGCAAAAATTTCAATCGCAAAATATTTTAACTATGCCTTCAGGTATTTCATACATGCAAGTATGATAAGTGGTGTGTCTGCAGACTCACGCGTGGACCTGTCTTCGTTCGCGAGAAAATTCGGGTGACATCGAAACTCCGGTAGCTGCAAACAAAATATAACAGGTTCTCTTTCTTCCTTATTTTCCACTTATCAATCTTGTGTTTTGTCTTGAGACCGTGATTAATATTACTGCTTGTGTATACAACAATGGTTTGATTGCCTCGTGAATTTCATTCAAATCAGACGACTGACAGTATTAGTTACACCTCAATGCGCGTGACAAGTGCGATTTTTGGAGTGGTTGATTATGCAACTGTTTGTTTTAGCTTAAAATGAAACTCCCGAATTAATTTTGATGGCAATTAATTTGAAGTGCATTTTAGATTATGGCTTGGAGGTATTAATTATCATTATCTATAATATACTTATTAATATTATTTTGATAGATCATATTAATGAACGTCTGCGGTGTTAGATTAAAGATTTTAATTATTGTTTGACTGGACAAGTTCTGTTGCTACAATAAATAATTTCAGGACTAGGCATAATTTTATAAACAGTGACTAAAAGCTATTACTTTAATAGCGCAATACCTGTTTTCATGTACGTTTCATTCCTGTGCCTGAATGAATTTACAAAACGTAATCATGACAGTGTTCTAATAAATCTTAGAGTTTGGTGATCCTATACACCCCGTATATAATTTTTTGCGGTAAAGTGCAACTGCAAAAATTGAAAACGCAGAAATTAATTTGCTACCTTTTAGGGTTAAATCGCAAAAATATCCAACCGCAGAAAATACCCGTTATACGGTAATCAATGATTTTTAGCCAAAGCATATAGGATGAGAGAGCAAATTCCCCGTGAGAATTCCACATTCTACCTAAAATTGGCTTTTTAGAAATTCTCTTGTCTGTTGTCCAGGTCCAGGTTCGACAGGTTCCAGGTTTTCAGGAGGTAATTGAGACAGTTCCCAAAGTTCCCATTCCTGTGTTGAATATTTCACGTTTATTATACTAAGCGCTTGAAAAGCGGGAGGGTATATAGTAACCGTTATGTCCGTCCGTCCGTAGATGTCTTTTACGCTTTGGGGTACCCATCTCTTATCCGCAAATCCTCTTAAATATACCACTGAGAGAAATTTATTGAAACTTTCTCAGAATCTCAAGTTTATTACATATTACAATTGTGCACCCTCTATTTTACTTTTTGATCTGACACATATTTTGGGTTTACCGACAACAGCAAAATACCGGGGTATGTACTTTGCCATTATAACCATATTGGAGGTGATGGTACATGTATCATTCAGTGAGCTTATTGCTCACAATACCTCTAGTTTCTATTTCAAATTGGGCGTTAAGGATAATTTTTTGTCCAAATCAAAAATATTCAATATTCGCCTAAAAAAAATCCTTGATCTTTCCTAAGGCTTAATAAATGGTGCAGATGGTTACAGAGAGAGAGAGAGAGAGAGAGAGAGAGAGAGAGAGAGAGAGAGAGAGAGAAAGAAAGAGGGAGAATTCTATATACAATAGAGTAAAGAAAAATTATCCGTATTAAACAGGTTTCAAGTATCCCTACCCTAGCTTTCAGAATTATCTCCCAAATACACCTACAAAAATTATTTAAAAAAAAAAACATAGCTAGAATATCAGACAGGGATACAAAAAAATCTAAAAAGACTTCCTGTAACAACATTATTATAAATTAGTTTAGTTCCTCAAAATGCACATACTTTGTGGTCGGAGTGATACAATTAAAAAAAAAAAATCTCAAAATTGAATTCGGCAGAAATGCCTGTTTTCCAAGAATATCTAAATAACGGTCATGTCATTTTTTTGCATGCCCCCCCCCAATTTGGCCTAAAACTGTTTGTATTCTGGTTAATTGCTTTTAAGATTAGAAGTAAATAATTACCCTACATCAAACTACTTGGTTTAGAATTGAGATAAGTACTAAAATAATCAGTTATAATTGACAAATGAATTTTGCGACGCAAACCAACTGCAGACTACATTCACGACTTTGTATAGAATGTATATTAGAACTACATGTAGATAGACAATTTACAGTTATACCTTAATTATGAACAGCAGTTATGATACACCCCCCCCCCCTTTCAGCCGCGCAAATACCAAAATACCAAATAACTTCTCTTTCCACTTTTGATTTTTTCCTTGACTAAAATCTGATCATCACAGACTAAATGTATTGACATGCTAGTCTGTACGGAGTAGTTACAGTGTGTTTACTATTGAGCTTTTATGGATTTTACTTCTTTTTTGTGATGTATATTTCAATAAATGGAATTCAGGGTTTATATCACTTGACTTGTGCACATCTTCGAACCGATGCAGTAACCTTATTACCAGGTATGGGTATGTTAACAGGGTTCGAGGCGTTTTCTCGATATACATCAATTGCATAGAACCTGCAAAGCAAAGACGTTGGTTTCTTTGTTCCATTGAAATGATAATTTCAAAATGTGTTTGCGGATTATACAACTTTTTATTTCAATTTTTTCTGCATAAATTGGCGCAATGTAAAAATATGTACCCGTGCAACTAAATATTTCTTCCAAACTTGCATTTTTTCTTTTTCTTTTTTACTTTTGATTCAAATCAATAATCATTCAGAAATATAAATATTATGTTGTTTATTGTGATTTTGAAATGTCTTGATCACCTCATGTGTTCTCATATGCTTTACAATCGGAGATGTGCACAAGTCGATACCCAAGCCAAAAAATCATTCAAGTGTAACGAGAGCATTGGGGTGTATATCGTTACAATGAGACGAGGTATCTGAAAGAAATATGGCGGAATACGGCTATAGTTGGTATGAAACAAGTCGTACACAGATGAAAATGTTGCGTTTTT